AGAGATTTAATCCTAGAAATATTTGACAGTTCCCAAAATGAATGGACACATTACAATTTCTTTTCGCATGAAAAGTTGCCAACATCTTTTAGGATGAGCATTTTGAAGAAAACTTTGACAGGATTTGTAGTAACAAGCTTAGAGAATAACTTGGGCATCTCCTCGCATATAACAACTCATGACAACAACTCAAGTGGCCCCCCGTTCTGGCGTCAGTCAAGAACAAGAAGCAATCGGAGACACGGTTCTCCTCCCTGCTCTCTCTGCTGCTCCAGGGGTCCGTGTGATTTCCTACTGGATAAGGGGCTCAACCAGATTCAATCCCACTCTCAATTTCCAACCATGGAAGAAACTGCTGGAACCCTAGGGACAGTTGTTGCCAGAATTGCCATATGAGCTTATCAGGTGAGAGGGTTATCTTCTAGCCTCTAGCTAGACACAGCCTCCGCTCACCTAAGGGGATCAGAACCTGAATTCCAGGGACACCTGGGTGGCTCATTTGGTTAAGCATCTGCCTTTGGCTCAGGTCATGATCCCTGGGTCCTGGGATCAAGTCCCCGCATCAGGCTCCTTGCTCAGCAGGGAGCTTGCTTCTCCCTCTCCCTCTGTTCCTCCCGTTCATGCCCTCCCTCTTTCTCTCTCTGACAAATAAAAAGAACCTGAATTCCATTTGCATGAATAATAGTGACCAGGAAAGCTCTGCCCTCAGCAATTCCTTGAAAAAAGTTTTTTGCTACAGTGCATAATAAATATTTTTTATTAATCATAATTATGTATATTGATCTTTTATATAACATATAGTGTATATTATATATACATGTAAATAAATATACATAATACATGTAAATAAATAACTGAAACAAAGTTACATTTAATGGAATTATTGATATGTTAGGGTTTAATTATGTCCTTCCATTTTTTGTTTTGTACTTGTTCACCAGTTTTCTTTTTCCTGTCTTGTAGGTTACTTGAACTTTTTCTAGAATTCCATTTGGATCTGTCTGCAGTGTTTATAAGTGTATCTCTTTGTGTAGTTGTCTCCGTAGTTGCTCTGGGTGTTATATAAGTTAGCACAGGCTCCTAGTGTCATTTTACCTATTCAAGTGAAGTACAGAAAACTTACCTCCTTTTACATCCTTCTATTCTCCCCATTTATAATATAATCGCATTAAATATTTTCTCTACATCCATTTAGAACCACACCAAACAGTGCTATAAATTTTGCTTTAACCATCAAACATTTGGGCGCCCGGGTGGCTCAGTCAGTTAAGCATCTGCCTTCAGCTCAGGTCATGATCCCAGGGTCCTGGGATAGAGTCCCGTATCAGGCTCCCCGCTCAGCAGGGAGTCTACTTCTCCCTCTCCCTCTGCCCCTCCTCCCTGCTTGTGTGCTGTGTCCCCCTTGCAAAAATAATCTTTAAAAAAAAATAACCATCAAACATTATTTTGAACACTCAAGAGGAAGAGGCAAGTCTGTTGTATTTACCCATATTTTTGCTCTGTTCTTTTTCCCTAATGTTCTAAGCTTCATTCTTTTATCATATACATTCTGTTTAAAAAATGTTCTTTAGGGGCGCCTGGGTGGCTTAGTCGATTAAGTGTCTGCCTTCGGTTCAGGTCATGATCCTAGGGTCCTGGAATCAAGCCCCACACAAGGCTCCCCGCTCAGCAGGGAATCTGCTTCTCCCTCTCCCTCTGAAATAAATAAAATCTTTAAAAGAATGACTACAGGACATTTTTTTTTAGAGTGGGTGTGCTAGCAACAATTCTTTAAACTTTCTTTCCTCTGAGAATGCCTTGTTTTCCCCCCTCTCCAAGAAAGATACTTTTTCTGGGTATAGAATTCTGTGTTGAGTTTTTCCCCACCTCCCTCCCATCCAGTGCTTAAAAGAAATATTACACCACTTCTTTCTAGCCTCCATGGTTTCTGATGAAAAATCCACTGTCTTGCAAACTGTTTCTCCTAATAAGTAAGATGTTGTGTTTCTCTGGCTGTTTTTAAGATTTTTTTCTTTGAGGTGCCTGGGTGGCTCAGTCATTAAGCGTCTTCCTTTGGCTCAGGTCATGACCCCAGGGTCCTGAGATCGAGCCCTACATTAGGCTCCCTGCTCCGCGGGAAGCCTGCTTCTCTCTCTCCCATTCCCTCTGCTTGCATTCCCTCTCTCGCTGTCTCTCTCTGTCAAAAAATAAATAAAATCTTAAAAAAAAAATTTTTTTTTTCTTTGTCTTTAGTTTTCAGAACCTTAATTATGTTGTGTCTTGATGTGAATTTCTTGGGGTTCAGTCCATTTGGAGTTTGCTCAGCTTCTTAAATCTGTAGGTTTATGTTTCTTACCACATTTGAGAACTTTCCAGCCATTATTTCTTCAAGTACTGTTTCAGTCTTGCATTCTCTTTCCTTTCCTTCCAGGACTCCAGTGACATGAATATTAGGTTTTGGGCTTTTTTGTTTTTGTTCTTTGTTTTTATTTTTTTTAATTATTTTTTAATTTTTTAAAATTTAAATTCAATTAACATATAATGTATTATTTGTTTCAGGGGTATGGGTCTGTGATTCATCAGTCTTATATAATACCCAGTGCTCATTACAACACATACCCTCCCAATGTCCATCACCCAGTTACCCCATCCCCCCACCTCTAGCACCTTTTTTTTTTTTTTTGGTAGATCCCAGTTCCCTTAGGTTCTGTTCACTTTTTTAAAATCTATTTTATCTGGGCGCCTGGGTGGCTCAGTTGGTTAAGCGACTGCCTTCGGCTCAGGTCATGATCCTGGAGTCCCTGGATGGAGTCCCGCATCGGGCTCCCTGCTCAGCAGGGAGTCTGCTTCTCTCTCTGACCCTCCCCCCTCTCATGCTCTCTCTCTCGTTCTCTCTCTCTCAAAAAAAAAAAAAAGTTTAAAATCTATTTCATCTGTTGTTCACATTAGGTAATTTCTATCTTTCTTTTTTTTAAATATTTTGTTTATGTATTTGACAGAGAGAGACACAGTGAGAGAGGGAACACAAGCAGGGGGAGTGGGAGAGGGAGAAGCAGGCTTCCTGCGGAACAGGGAGCCCAATGTGGGGCTCGATCCCAGGACCCTGGGATCATAACCTGAGCCGAAGGCAGATGCTTAACGACTGAGCCACCCAGGTGCCACTAGGTAATTTCTATCTTTCTATCTTCTAGTTCATTGGTTCATTTATCCCCTCCATTCTACCATCCAGCCCACTCACTGAGCTTTTTATTTTGGTTATTGTATTTTTCAGTTCTAAGATTCCCATTTAGTTCTTCTTTATAGCTTGCGTTACTTTGTTGAGACTTTCAGTTTTCTTGCTAAGTCCTATTTTTTCATTTATTTCAAGCATAGTTTTAATTGCTTACTGAAGTATTTGTATCTTGGCTGTTTTAAAATCCTTGTCAGGCAGAGAGGGGTCCGGCTGGCTCAGTTGGTGGAGCATGCCACTCCTGATCTCAGGGTTGTAAGTTTGAGCCCCATGTTGGGTGTAGAGATTACTTTAAATAAATAAATAAAATCTTAAAAAAAAAAAATCATTGTCCAGTAATGTTAACCTCTCCATCATCTCTGCTTTTACATTTTTTTTTTCTCACTTTGAGATCTTCTTCATTCTTGGTATATTGAGTGATTTTTTTTTTTATCAAAGCCTCAATATTTTTGTATTATGCAAAGTTATGCATAATACAAATTATGGATCTAATCTAAACCTTCTGTCTTCACTGGCTTCCTCTGAAGGGGAAGGGGAGGTCCTACCAGGTGGAGATAGATACCCAGATCATCCAACTGACACCAGAGAGGGGAATCTTCTTTACCGATGATGGGGGTGGACGTCCAGGTTCTGCATATAGTCTCCACGGACTTCACAGGGGGCAGGGGAGGCTTTTGACTGGCCAGCTGGGCTGAAAGTTCAACTCCCTACTGAGCTTTCTCTGACACCCCTTCCCCCGTCAGGATTGTTGGAAAACCTCAGAAGAGCCTGGTAAGAGTGGAAGTCTAGGTGTCCGCTCAGCCTTTGCTTGTATGGTTGGGGTTGGGCCATGGTTTGTTTGTTTGTTTTTCCTGTGGTGTTTGGCTGGAGCAGAATGTTATTCTCTAAATGTTTCTGCCCTGCTAGACTTCCCCTGTCTTGTCCTCTGATGAGAGTAAACAAGCTTTTGTTGTGGAATTTTTGGTCTATGCCTATTGGCATTTTGAGTGGCTGGCTTCTCCACTTCCAAGTTGGGTATGTGTGAGGCAAGAAGAAAATGCAGAAAAGTCCCCACCATACCATTCCTTGGGTCCTGACGTCTCTAGTCAGTCTGTCTTCTCTCCACCTTTCAAATACTTGTTTCGTATACAGTGTCCAGAGTTTTTAGTTGTATTTAGCAGGAGGAATAGGGAATGTAGGTCTATTCCATATTCCTGGAACCAGAATTCTAGGGGAACAGATTTTTAGAGCAAGCTAGTGGTCTCCCCAGACGAGCGGCTGAGAGGGGGTGGAGATAGAAGAGAGAAGACAAGCAAGGACTGAGTCCTGGGGACTCCCATGTCTGGAGGGAAGAGGAGGAGGAGCTTGAAAGGCAGCAAGAAGAGACAGCTAGGGAGGTAGGAGGACAAGCAGAAACATGTAAGATAACTATAGTTAACCACCTTTTATTTTATTTTATTTTTAAAAAATTTTATTTATTTATTTGACAGAGACACAGCGAGAGAGGGAACACGAGGAGGGGGAGTGTAAGAGGGAGAAGCAGGCTTCCCGCAGAGCAGGGAGCCTGATGCGGGGCTCGATCCCAGGACCCTGGGACCATAACCTGAGCCGAAGGCAGACGCATAACGACTGAGCCACCCAGGCGCCCCTTATTTTTAAGATTTTATTTATTTGAGAACAAGAGCAGGAGCAAGAGGGGGAGGGACAGGGAGAGCCGTACGGGGGGGGGGGGGGGGGTGGGGAGGGAGAAGTAGCGTTCCTGCTGAGGGGGATGTGGGACTCGATCCTAGGACCCTGAGCCGAAGTCAGGCACTTAAGGGATTGAGCCACCCAGGCACCCCTAGTTAACTACCTTTTAAAGGATAGCATAAGTGAACACAAAATCCAGACTGGAGCAGGTTTGAGAAAGAATAGAAGCAAAGGGAAAGAAGAAAGTTACCCAAGCCACCTATTGTGTGATTCCATTTACACGAAATGTCAGAATTGGCCAATGTATAGTGACAGAAATAGATTAGTGGTTGTCTAGGGCTGGGGTGGTGGGGTAGTTTGGGAAAAACAGAGATGGGAAATGACCTCTATGTGGTATGGGGTTTCCTTTTGGGGTGAGAAAAATACTTCACAATTAGATTTTGGTGATAGTTGCACAAGTCTGGGATATATATTTTTTTAAATACTGAATTGCATACCTTAAATGGATGAATTGTACAGTATGTGAATTATTTCAATAAAGCTGCTTAAAAAAAGGGAAAGGGGAGAGGGAGAAAAAAATGATACACATTGGGAAAACATGTAGAACTTTTATGCAGGGCCAATTTCCCTTACATAAACAGCTAATAGTCCAATAGGAAAAAAATGGTAAAAGAATAGAAGAATATATAAAAAGATGCTTGATTCATAGTAATAGAGCTATAAATTATAACTATGTTAAAATAACAGCTATTTCATCTATCAGACTGACAAAATCCCAAAGTGCGGTAACACCTGCCAAGACTTTATTTTTTATTTTTTCAGGAGCATGTTTATTGTGTCTGAGATGATCCATCAGGTGCTGTCTGAGCTAGAAAGGGTAAAAGGAAAGCCTCTTGTTACAAACTGACAAAGTGAAAGCTAAAACATTTTTCACAATAGCATGAACCATACACTCAAATAGATCTGGGTTTTATAGAAATGACCTAATTCCTAGTCCTCTCTGGCTACTTTCATAACTTTATATAGATAATGAATTAGGCACTGTGATATTTGGTGGACTTCAGGATCAGTATCCCTAATACTCCACAAAATACATTCTGATACCCCAAAGAAGCAAGACTTGCAAGTAGGCGTGGCAAACCGAACTACAGCTACAAAGTTCTACTCTTGAGGCCAGCATTTATCTCTTGGGGGAGTCTTCCAGCCTCCAAAGGACAAAAACAGGGAGTGGCTAGAATCAGTACAACATACACACAGAAGGCTGTCCTGGAAAAGCTATAAAATATGCGGCACAGCGAGAAGAATCCTTGGGCTCCTTCACACCGCATACAAATTATGAATTACGCCGCCTCGCTCTTGCTCTTCTGTCTGGCTCTCCCATCGTGTTCTGCTCTGTTGGTCGAATACTGAGCGGCTATGCTTCAGACCACAGGATCCAGAGGGACGCCGTGTGTCAAATGAGAACAAAGTGACAGCAAAACCTTTGAAATAGTCCAAGCAGGACTCCAGTTGTTGTTTCTGGTGCAGAAAGTAACCACTGCTACCTTAAGTGGATAATAGGGTGAAAAGGTGATATCCAGGAAAAACACCCCACTCTCATAGACAGAACCCGGTGGGCCAAGTATAGTTGGTCTCCATTCATAAAGGTGCTCTCCTTTAGGCCGAGCACTGTAGTTAGAAGGAGGATCAAGGTTTCCTTCAGCCAGTTCCTTCTGAGTCCTTTCAGCACTGGTTCTGCTGGAGAGTGCGGTGTTTTTCTTCCGCAGGGTGGCAGAAAGTTTTCTTTCTTCTTCTTCTTCAGGCTTGGGAGCCGGTCGCCCTTGCTGGTCCACATCAGAACCACCACGGCCAGTGAAGAGGCTCTGGTCATCAGACCTCTGCCTGTCCCTGGACATCTGGGCGAAGTGATTTCTTAGACCATTCTACGCCGATCTGCCCAGCTTGCCCTTGCGTGCCACTAGGGTGTGTTGCGAAGTGGAGAACCCTCCCTTAGGGAAATGGAGGCAGCAGGGGAGGAAAGAGGGGAGGGAGAGGGAAAACGAAGCCGAGGAGGCTCTGGCCGGGAGCGTGGAACATTGGAAGTCGGAGGGGATTGTGCGGGGAGCACCGCCTCTCCTCCGCCCCAAGCACCTTGGGGGGGTGGGGTGGGGGAAGGGGGTTCGGAGCTCAGCTGGGAGAAGACATGTGCTCCTAGCTCCTAGCGAGGCAGAGGGCCCAGAGAGACCCCTAGAGCCGTGTTTCCCCCGCGGCCAGCCTCCCAGCTGGGTTCGTCCCAGCCCGCAGCCCGCAAGGTGCAAGGTGCGAGGACACGGCCAAGCCTTCAGGGGAGCAGGTATTCTCCTGATTGCTAGTGGGAGCGTGAACGGTGACAGCCCTATGGAGAACTTAGCTGGAGCTATCAAAATTACAACTGTTTGTTGTACCCTCAGACCAGGCATATCGACTTCTAGTCATTTACCACTTTTACTTCCAGACATGGGAAATGACTTGCCGGCAGGGTCGCTGTGTAATTGCAGCTTTCTTTGTAATAGTAATGGACTGGAAACAACTTAAATGTCAACTAGGAAATCTTAAAAAAAAAAAAAAAAAAAAGGTATTCTTTAAAAAAAAAAAAAAAGTCAACTAGGAGACCAATAAAGGCAATGAGGAAGCTCTTTATGTGTTAAAGAAGAAAGTTCCCTATGATGTATTGTTAAGGGCAAAACAAAAGGCAGCATGACATATATGGTGTGTTGTCATTTATATTAAAAAGGAAGATGGGATACATTTGTACCACCAAAAAAAACAACCTCTGAATGTATCAACAAACTAATACTACTAAACAACTGGATGGTGTGAGGTGGAACTGGAAGATGGGGTGAGAAAGCTGTATACTTTTCCATAATTTTTAAAATTTTGAGCATTTTTTTATTGAAAAGAGGGAATGTGAGGTGAGAAAGTGAAAATAAGAAGTGTAGCAATTTATCTGTATAGTCTGTTTGAACTGCTATGACAAAAATCCATAGACTGAGAGGCTTAGAAATGAGAGAAATTTCCTTCCCTACAGTTCTAGAGGCCAGGAGGTCCAAGATCAAGGCTCGGGCAGATTCAGAGCCTCACCAGACTATCCTCATAGACTTCTTGCTGTGTTCTCGCTAGCCAAAGGGGCAAGGGAGCTTTCTTGGGGACTCTTTTATGAGAACACTGATCCTTGGGCACCTGGGTGGTTCAGTAGGTTAAGTGTCTACTTTGGCTCAGGTTGTGAACCACGGGGGTCCTGGGATCGAGTCCTACATCGAGCTCCCTGCTCAGCCAGGAGTCTTCTTCTCCTTCTGCCTTTGCCCCCCATCCCTGGCTCTTTCTCTCTCTCTCAAATAAATAAATACAATCTTAAAAAAAAAAAAAAAGAACCCACTGATCTTATTCATGAGAGTTCCACCCTAATCACCTCCCAAAGGCCCCACCTCTCAATATCATCACACTGGGGGGGGGGTAGGATTTCAACATATGAATTTTAGGAGGACACAAACAGTTAACTGATAGCACCATTATTTACAGCTTTTCAGTAAGGGGTTGGGACTCTGCAAAGAACTGGCAGCGAGAGGAGGCTGTGGGTCACAACGAGACTTTTTAGAGCTAGGAGATATTCAGCCTGTTTTTAGGCTGATGGGAATGATCCAGACACTTAGATTGTATCCTGCCTTTTGCTATATTATTGAACCTTTTAAATAGCTCCATTACAACTTTCTGCTTGTGTATTTTTTTAAAAAAGATTTTTTAAAAAGATTTATTTATTTGAGAGAAGGCAAGAGCAAGAGAGAGAGAGCACACAAGTGGAGTAAAGAGCAGAGGGAGAAGCAGACTCCCCGCTGAGCAGGGAGTTGATGATGGGGGTGGGGATCGATGTGGGGGTTCCATGCCAGGACTTGATCCCAGGACCCTGGGACCCTGAAAAGGATGCCCATCCTTTTCCATCTCTGTATCTCCTGCGCCTAGCTTGGTTCTGGCATAAAATAGGTGCTCAGCATGTGTTTGTTAAATGATGTTATTGAAGACTCTCCCCATGGCTGTCCACCATCTGAATCAATCCATTCATTACACCTCAGCCCCCAGTTCAGACTTCCATTTTCTCCTTGTAGTGAGGTCACCATGGGTTCACATGCTCAGGGAAAGACTCCCAAAGCAGCACAACTTAAAGCAGATGGAGAGGAGAAAGGAAGGCATCGCCGGCAGCAGGAAGGACACAAACAAAATTAGAGGGACCTGGCTGTTGACCATGATGATGATGTGGTGTAGGGATGCGGAGGATTGCTAACCTCCATTGAGAGTCCACTGTGCACCAAGAACTGTTTAACTCTTTCACTTGTGAGTTCATTTATCCCTGACAAGAACTCTAGAAGAAAGGTATTCCCACCATTTTACAGATGGGGAAACTAAGACACAGAGCAAGTAAGTTGTCCAAGGTCACACAGCTATGAAGGAATGAAAACACATGATATAGTGACTTGATTTGATTAAAACAAACAAATAAACAAAAAGCCAGCTTTATTCTTGTACCTTTCCTGTCATTCCTGTTCCTTCCTTCCCACCACCAAATATTTCATAAATATATGCCCGAGCTTATTTGCCACAACTCTGCAAAAACATCCCTTACTCCCTGACCCAAGGGGTGAGAAATCCATTGTAATTCTTGCTCCTGGATATAGTTACAGAAATAATGCCAAGGAGCTTTTCTAACTTCATTTCTTTGATTTCACTTCCTTTCCCAAACACAGTGGGGCATGTTTAAAATTAGTTTCTTCCTACAAGTAGAAATTGCCCTTGCAATTTAGTTTTTTGTGCCTAAAATGATCCTTTTTTCCTGCTTCCTTGAGTTGGGCCAGATAGGAGACAGCTTACCGAAATGCACAAACTCCTACTTCTCTTCCTTTCTCTATTTATGCCTCCCTTTGGAAAATATCCCTTTTCCCAAGCACCACTTGAAAAACTCATTTACCGGGCGCCTGGGTGGCTCAGTTAGTTAAGCGACTGCCTTCAGCTCAGGTCATGATCCTGGAGTCCCAAGATCGAGTCCCGCATCAGGCTCCCTGCTCGGCAGGGAGTCTGCTTCTCCCCCGACCCTCCCCCCTCTCATGCTCTCTCTATCTCATTCTCTCTCAAATGAATAAATAAAATCTTTAAAAAAAAGAAAAAAGAAAAAAGAAGAAAAGAAAAACTCATTTACCAGTGAGTTAGGGGAAATTTTACCTTTACTGATTGTTCTTGGGGATTACTTTAACTTAACACTACTGAATATAAGAAAGTATTCTGTTTGGTCAGGTTTCTCCTGGTCACGAGACTACCTTCAGGCCCTGTTATAGGATGAATTGTGCCCCCGACACCCATTTTTTTTTTTTTAAAGATTTTATTTATTTGACAGAGAGACAGCGAGAGAGGGAACACAAGCAGGAGGAGTGGGAGAGGGAGAAGCAGGCTTCCCACTGAGCAGGGAGCCCGATGTGGGGCTCGATCCCAGGACCCTGGGATCAAACCTGAGCCAAAGGCAGACGCTTAACCGACTGAGCCACCCAGGCGCCCCCTGACCCCCATTCTTAAGTTGAAGTCCTAACCCCAGTACTTCAGAATGTGACTAGTTTGAGATAGGGTCTTTAATGAGTTAATTCAGATTAAATGAGGTCTTTAAGATGGGCCCTAATTTAATATGACAGGAGAAGAGATTAGGACGCAGACCCGCATGGAGGAAAGACCATTGAAGACATAGAGAGAAGGCCATCTGCAAGCCAGGGAGCGAGGGCTTAGAAGAAACCAAACCTGCCAACACATTGGTTCCCCGACTTCTAGCCCCAGAATTCTAAGAAAATAAATTTCTGCTGTTTAACCACCTAGTCTGTGGTATTTTGTTATAGCAGCTCCAGCAGATTAACAGAAGCCCCCAACTCAAAGCTCACCATTTTCACTGTGTCACTCAGCCTCCAAACCTGTATGCCCAACAGCCTGTTGGATGTTTCCACCTGTGTATCCCACAGACACTTCACACTCGGTGTATCCAAAGCAGAAGTCTCATCACTCTCTGTATGCCTGCCCTTCTTTCAAAGCCCCCCATCTCAGTGATGACACCCCTGTGACAAGCTAGAAATCTAGGTGCCATTCCTGATTCAGCTGTCCCTCCGCTCCCACTTTTTTTTTTTAAAGATTTTATTTATTTATTTGAGAGAGAGAGAATGAGAGAGAGCACATGAGAGGGGGGAGGGTCAGAGGGAGAAGCAGACTCCCTGCCGAGCAGGGAGCCCGATGTGGGACTCGATCCAGGGACTCCAGGATCATGACCTGAGCCGAAGGCAGTCGCTTAACCAACTGAGCCACCCAGGCACCCCGCTCCCACTTCTATTAGATATAAAGTTCTGTGCATTCTACCCCTTCAATCTCTTCATTTCTTAACTTTTTGTTTGCATTGAAAAATGTCAAAACCAAAGAAAATTTGAAAGAATGAAGTGAAAATTAACCATTTTTTAAGAAGATTTATTTATTTTAGGGAAAGAGAGAGAGAATGTGCACACATGCGCATGCATGGGCTGGGGGAGGCGCAGAGGGAGAGGGAGAAAGAGAATCCAAGTAGATCCCCACCCCCACCCCCACCCCATTGAGCAAGGAGCCTGACTCCTTGACCCTGAGATCACAACCTAAGCTGAAATCAAGAGTCAGATGCTTAACTGATTTGAGACACCCAAGCACGCCCCCCCATTTAATATTTTTTATATTTGCTTCCACTTCCCCCATATATATACTCTTTGGTGTATATATATTATATATATTATTTATGTATATATTTTTCCTGAGCCATTTGAAAGGAAATTACAAACACCATGATATTTCATCTCTGAATACTCCAGCATGCACTTCCTAAGAATAAGGCTATTCTGCCACATAGCCTCAATATCACACCATCCCTAAAACTTAACATTCTTTAAGTAATACATTCTAATACATTATCCATATTTAAATTTTACCAGTTGTTTCCAAATATCTTTTCTTTCCCCTTCCTTTTCCCTTCCCCATTCCCCCATTCACACACACTGTGTGTGTGTGTGTGTGTGTGTGAGTGCATACTGATACCTCCAATTCAAATCTAACTCCACAAGATTCTATACTTTTTCTACATTTACATATCCCACAGTGAAAATCCTGGTTCCCAAGACATCAATGGATTTATTGGCTCTATATCTTACAATATATACAAGACAGTTTCAGAATTATGAGACTAATACAACTATCATTAACAAATTTACTAAGTAAAATTTAAGATCTTCTTGCACGTCTTTTAGTCCTTAGAATATGTCCCCCACCAGGAATACACAGAATACTATATTCAAAAGTTTCTTGAAATTTCTTATCTGAGTATATTTCAATTTGATTGTTAATTTGTTTCTGTTTAGATTAAATTTCATGATTTAAAAAATCCTTTTATTTTTAAAAATATTTACAACATTTACACAGAAGTCAAACCTTTATAAAAGGAATATTTAAAGTACAAATGTCAGCAAGATGGCCAAATAAGATATCCCTTGCTTAGGGTTGCTTGGG